TGCATGAAATCCTTGACTTGTCTTTTACCTCCAAAAAAACTGCACAGAACAGCTGATTTCTATGAGATATTCTGTCTTTTCATAATGCCATTGATTATGAGCAATTAAATATAAGACAATACTAGTTGTAATAAGTGAATGATGCTCAAAACCCATGTTTAATGTATTGTGATATATTTTTTTTTGAGAACACACACAGAAAAGACCTTCCAAATTTAATTCATGATCTGAATGATGATATTTATTTGTGAAGAAATAAGGGCTCAAATCTGCCAGGCATATGTTTGAGTTTATAGACTCTCAGAAATAGTACTGCATTCCTGTGAGTTGAGGTTGAATCTGGATTTTATTTGGTTATCGCAGGTAACCAAAGTCACACCTTGCCAATCTGGCAATTCGACGATGCCTGAGTTTTCAGGAGTTCTGGTATCAAGCCCCAAGGCTTTTCTGGGAATAGGAGTAGCCTGTTACAATGAGGAGCTGAGAAATATTATTTGGGTTGGCATGTCTGAGCAATAAGATCAGTATTGGATCTCAGAGGCATATGCTTTTTAAAACATGGCTTTCACTGAAGCCTGTGGTTGTCATCTATAGCAAGAGTGTATACTCACAATGTTGTTATCCAGAACATACGGCTAGTTCTAGAATATAAAGTTCTTATTTTTCATAAAATGAGATTTACTGGTAAATGCAGTGCTCAGCTGATGGCAAGTTAGTCAGGGTCATGGTGATGCATTGCTTCTAGGGCATGTTGTCATCACATCATTTTTTCCTGTTTCTCATTAATTACAAATACTTCCAGGATGCAGGTCTGTAAAATGTAATTATTTATTCCACGGGGTGTTTTATCTCCAGTGCTGCAGTCAGAGGCAGCGCATGCTGCTGTATCCTCAGCGGTGTGGCTGACAGGGGGCACGGGGCTGGCAGAATCCTCTCCTGCCCGCGGCCGAGGTGCGGGGCGCGGAGCGGAGCCGCTCGGTGCTCCGGGGCTCTGGGGCCGCCGCATCAGCTCCCGCCTCCACCCCCGCTGGCGGCCAAAATCCTCCCGACCTCAACGATAAACCAAATGGACTACAGGGAGCAAATCTGGAGGTGCAGAAAGAGGCTACGTGTGTCCATGTTGCTAGCACGGCAGAAAGCGCCTGGCACAGCCCTAGTTTCCATTGGGCTGGCTTTCCCTTTCCTCTCCCAGTGTCCAAGTATCAATAGGTTCGTGCCTTCTGCTAGGATGCTGAAAGGCCCATAATTAACATGAGCATAATAATCCATGAAGTATTTCGTTATCTGAGATAATGCGATCTATTACACAAACAAAAAACCCGGTGGTGTTTATCATTACCCCTGCGTTTGACCGTCTCCCTCTCCCAGCTGGAGCAGAGCCCGGCCGCTGGCCACTAGATGCCACTGTTGTATCAGGACATGTTGGGCGTAATGCCTCAAACAATGAGTAATTTACTTAGAGAACATGTATGTGTATAATTAGGAGTCATCAATGTCTTTCTTTTAAAATAAAATAAGTTTACCATATCTAATTAGATATTTCTTATAAGATGGATTTCATTCTAATTGGGTAAAGCTATGCTACTGGTTTAAAATGTAGCAAGGGATGTATTTGTATTCACTTTCACAGTTTCCATATTTTTTTAGTCCTTGCAATAAATGGATCTGATTACACCTTTTAAATCGATGTTCTCTCAAACGGGTATGACATAAATGATTGTTCTGTCATTGTGATTTTACTGCCATTGTTTTCAGCATGTGAGGTTTTCTAGTGATATCTCTCTTAATCTCATTCTGTCTTTCCCTATCCTCCTGATTTTGATCTTAGATCTGCATGGTCTTTCTATCCAAACTGAAGTCATCTATTTAAAGAGCCAACAGTGCCACGGACGACTCTGGCTTGACCATGACAGCACAGGCTTTCCAGCAGCAGTGAGCTCAGTAATCCACAGCTAATGAGCCAGAGCTCCAAAATGTCTGTTGCACAGGGGCTTCTTTAAAAGCTCAGATTTCCTGTAGCTGGGTGTTGACAATGGAAGTCTAGATTTTTCAGATGTTGGACTGTATCCAACCTAGGTAAAATTCAAATCCAGTGCTTTTTTGCAGGGAAAATGCATGCCTTAAAGCTTCAATATGAATTCAGAAGGCACTGGCTAGTCATTGTGACACCCGGTGTGGGTAAGGCTTACACCCCTTCCCAAAGCAGTTTCATTAGTGCCTGAATTCTCTTTGCCAACCTGAGTTCTGGATGTTCCCACCAAAATACTGTGTTGCATGCTAACGTAAGAACTTTGCTGGTTTTCCAGTTCTTTCAGATCTGTGGGAGTTTTGGTATGGGCGATCTTCCTCAGATCAGCTCTAGTGACACCAGGCTGCAACACTGACCACTTCCACCTCGTGAGTGCTCCCATCACCCTATTCCTGCCTCAGTCTCACACGTGAACCACCCCTGGGTTTCCCAGTTATGACTAGAACTTGTGTATTCAATCTTGATGGCATCTTTCAAATTTGAATTGTCTCCTGAAAGAAGCTATTCCTGCAACAAAACAGTGGCACAGTGATTTTAGAGTAATTTTCAGATTGTGGTTTATAACTGTGTTGTACCTCAGATATAGCTTGTCCCAGTGGGAATGGCTTTCTCTGCTATCCCTATCTCTCATATATCAAATTATGGATTATTATACAAAAGTTGTATCTCTGTCTTATTTATTGAAGTGTTAGTTCACTAAATAAAGGATCTCAACAATGATTTGAGCTGGCTGAAAACATGCTTGAAATTTATGTATTTCAGTGAAAGGTTTTCAACAAGCTCTATTTCTGAAGCTAAAGTACTTCAATTCCCAATGACCAAATTCATTAAAATATAAATTAGACTAAAGAAACATATGAATCACAACGGTATATTTGCATATCATCTATTTGGTGTGCCTATAACAGTTTCTTCTTGTAGACTAACAGCTTCTGCAATCTTCACAACCACAGAGTTGAATAAATGACTGTGGAGCAATTAAGAAAGCAAAGAAGACAAGGATGAAAATTCTTTCTGCTGAATTGGGAAGAGTACTGCAGAATTCTGCAATTGAAATTAAAACCTGTGTTAAACCAGTTTCCTTCACTAAGACATGTCTTAGCTAATCAATTAGCATTGACTGTCTCAGTATTCTAATAATAGGAAAGGATTTAAAGAAATGTCATATTTTGTTTGTATTTTCAGAACTGTAGATAATTACTGATTATTGCACAAGAGTGAATATCCTCTAAGAAATAAAGGTGAAGAGGATGGAACGAGAATGTCTCATCTCAGGGGAGTTAGATGATCCTCCTGCAGTAAGACCTTTGCATCCACAAAAGGCAGCAACAGAAATTTCTCATAAAGTTTGACCTGTTGTTCTGTAAGTAATATATCTGAGACTCCAATACAGAGTATCTTGTCAGTTCCTTTTAATAAATGAAGCTGAACTGATACAGCAGCTTGAGTAGTTTCTCTGATCTGTACCAGTTCTCTGCTCTATGCCTTCACATGTATTTCCATGAATTGTTGATACACTTGGCCAGTGAATTTTCTGTGACTTCAAAGCTAAGCCTTTCACTTTGCCTTGTATAAAACATGCCCAGAAGCTGGATTTTGAAGAAAATAAGTAGAGGGAAAAATATTGATTTTAGATGTTAGGATAATCTAAGGAAAATGGTTCAAAAATAAAAGGGGAAGGTAACCCTGTTTTTATTTTTTTAGATTTGTCATACTTCCCAGAAAATTATTTTGTAGTGAGTAATTAGCTCCATATAAATGCAAACAATAACTGCAAATATTGCATTTGTGACATCCGGAAAGTGCCATGACATTCTTAAGAGATGTTCTACATCTGTTCTTCATCTTTCCAGGAGAAAGGAGGAAGAAAGGATTGGTTAGACTTCAAGAATGATGGGCATCAGATTCATTGTTGGATTTTCTGAAGAGGCTTATGTTTGATATCATAGAGCACAAACTCGATTAGCTCTAATGTAATTTGTTAGCTTTTGTGATGCAACTCCGCGTGTGTCATTGTGCATTGCTCTGATCAAGTCATGTTGGGGAGACGGTCAAAAGAGCCAAATAGTCACAGATTTATGCCCTTTCTAGAAGTGACTAGGACATTTTGAATCCTATAGGAGAATAGACCTTTACACTTCTAACTCACCTAGAATATCTTAGAAAATATGACCTTTAATATAGTCCCATCTTTATAAACAGCTTCAGGGTCATCCCAGCATTTCCAGATAAAATTGAAGACATATAAAATAAGGAACTGCTGAGTTTTCATCAAACTGAGAAAGAATAAATCATAAGATGTGGAAAAAAAAGTTTTGTGACTAAAGCTTTTGCAACAATGCAATTTTACTGTGTTATCATATCACACTAGTTCTTCAGTCATATGAGAACACGAAGCATGTAAGTAACCTAAGTATGACTATTGCTGCTCTTTAGGAAAATTGTTCAATAATTTATTGACCTCCCATTGCTTAGGTTTACTGCCTAAAATGTAATCCTCCTTTTTCTTGATATTGTCAATTTTTTTTTGTAAGTGAAGAATTTTTAATATTCAACTTGGTAGCATTTGAAACCAGCCTGAAACAGAAAATTTTATGAGAGTTTTATAAACTTCATTTAAACTGAATCCTAGGAAATGTGGAAAAAAAGTATTGCAGATGAGTAATTTTTAAGGAATTGGGAGGAAGAGACACCATTATGTAAAGGAATGTTTAGTATCAAAGCATATAAATAGCTTTAGCTGACAGCTGAACAATAACTTCAAAAGTTAACAAATCATTCTCAAATTTTGATAGAAAGGGAAGCTAGAAAAAGAAAGATAGATTTATTCCATTTTGAAGATAAGAAAGGCAGTTTTAATTGTAATTTTTAAGGATTTTTCAGACATGCTCAACTTTTGATTTCAGTGTTTTTAATCCTGATTTGCACTAATAAAAACTAGGTGCAAATGAGTGCTGATGAGTCTGTATTGAAGTTAAACGAATAGTTGAAAATGTCTATGAATATTCATTTAAATTCAAAAATTAACTCCAAATTGATCATGTCTATGACTTTGTGAATTTGCTTTCTACGAGCATACATGCACTTGAAATTACCTTTCATGAATATTTGCAAAAGCAAATTTTCAATTAGATATTTCATATACTTGCAGAAAATAATTTTTCAGTGATATATTTAATTGTGAGATTTGGATTTTACATCATGCTGCCTGATATTTGTGATCTGTTCTGTGGGACTGCATATTTGAAGGCCTCCAGAAAGGTTTTAGCTGGATGGAACACTTTGGAAAACCTTTACCTAGTGAATTATGGGATTCATCAAGAAGCAGAAAAAAATGAGAATATACAAGAAAATCAGAAACTGTGAAAATTTCCATTTGAGAATTTTATAAAACATATATGGAACATTGTACTTCAGCATGAAGTGAATCTTAGAGGCCAATTTCTCCTCGTGTGTGTTGTCAGGTCATGATCACGGCCAAGTTCAGTGACTATGTCCAAGCAGAATAACTTTAAGGCAGTGGTTTTGATTTTTAACCATTGAAGGTAAGAATCATGATTGCAATGGCTGATAGTTTGGGGTAGCTTAGAAAAAGTGGTATGACTGTCATTGGAGCTCCAACATGGGATGTGTGGTTTCAATTAGAAGCTCACTTCACAAAAGAAGTCCTAGATCTAATAAGATGCTTGTATAGAACTTTTCTCATGGTGCATCCAAGTCAAACATTATCTAGAGCCTGCTGACTTGCAGGAAGAACTGAAGCTGAAAATAATATTCTTACTAAGGCACACCAGAGAAGTGACAGTTTGGCAAGTCTTCCATATCAGGAGGAGAAACCAACACCAGCAAGTGAGATGAGAGGACCTGCTTGGCACAGGTATTTTTGTGTTCCTAGAAACAAGGAGAAGCAGGAAGGATGCTGGACCCCTCCATGGATGCAGTAGGGCCAGTTCTGGCTGGAGCTGTGATGTGTGGGGAGGCTCAGAGGAGAAGCTGCTGGCAGCCTGCAGAGGCGACCACGGGACCCCATGGCCAGCCCAGGAAGGTGAGCTCAGCCACCTCGAGCAAGGGGAACGGGCTGCTCGGGGGGAACTGCCTGAGTGAGGCTTGCAGCTGGCCTTAGCAGCCCCTGTGCTACTAATCTTGCAGGGGAGGAGAGGTCCTGGTCGATAATGGCAATCTAGGAATGCATTTTTAAATTTCAGTTTAGTTTTATTTTGTGAGTTCATCCATTGCTGTGCACAGGAGTGTAACCACTTATTTTGCTGGACTAAATGTGTCCTGATTTCACCTTGGCAGCTGAATGGCATATTCCCTATGGCTGATTCAAGGCACTTTCTTCCTGGTAGAGCAAGGAAATATACACACACAAGTATTCCCTTGGAGCAGGGGAGTGGTTTCCCACCTAGGTACTGGAGACAGCTTGAGGGCAGGGTCAGTCTCCCTCATCAGGCACAGCCAGTGCCTCTATCAAGCAGCAGGGGAGGGGAAGATTGTATATGATGCATGAGGTACCATAGGAGATACCATACAACTCAAAAGAAATTGAATCAGGTTCTGAAACTGAGACAACCAAATTTTTCAGCATGACCAGCCTTGGCTTGTCAGGATATTGAGTACCTTGAATTCAATGTTCAAATATTTTGCAAGTTAAAATACTGTTTATTGGAAGAAATTTGTGAGTAATTTAAAGCCAGGAATTATTTGGGGAAATTTCTGAGTGATTTTTAGATAATCAAATAGAAGAAATGTAGGATGAATACATTATTTTGTTATATTGCATATTCATCTCTAGTTTGAATAGTGAGAGAGAATCTGGCCCCAGTGCCTAGAAGTCATACTCAAGGATTGGATTTCCTGTGTAAAAGCTATACAGTGTGATAACACAGTTGTACTGCATATTCAGTTTTGATATGTAACCTTTTAAATAAATTGGAATACTCTTTGTGCCTATACTGGCACACACGGAGAGATCATAAACAATAATTTTGTAAAGGTCACTTCCTCTCTAAGCGCTTGAGCTCATGGCAAGAGCAGCATAGGGCTATTAAAAGACCTTTATGCTTCTATTTTTTGGTGTCTGTTAATATTTTTGCATCTTTGAAGCTCTGTTTAATATAAAGGCTGTGTAGTGTCCCATGCCATGGGTCTGTCTGTGCAGGCCTGTGCAGTGAGGCCCTGGGCTGCCTCCCTGTGCATTTTAACAGCAAATGCCTGCTGGCTGTAGGATCTGGGGTTACTCTCAGCATGGAGCAGCGTGCCCAAGGCTGGCAGCATCCTTCCTGCTGGGAATGAGGGGGAGCACATCAAGGTCCAAATGGTGGAGGCTTTTGTGTCAGGAGCATCGCAAGACAGCCAGGTATCAGGAACCTGGGCAATACATGAGTGCCAGCAGTGGCTGAGGGATCTGCACAAGGTGAGAGTTACCAGATGCTTGCCAAGTTCAGCTACACAGCACATTGCTCAGATTTTCCTGCTGCTGCCCTTCTAAGGTGCTAATGAAGTTGTTAGTTGAATAATTTTTTTTGGTCCAGTGGAAATACCCTTGGTCTTGCTTGTCTCCAGCAAAATACTTTGTCTCAGAGGAAATGCTTGGAAGTTTATAGTCCATCCAACCAACATTAAAACCACATATATCTGCTGGTCTTCAGAAACAAAAGCACATTTTGTAACAAAACTCCATTTATGCTATACCCATTGGACTGTTCTGTCCTGTGATTGACAACATGGCCTAAATCAATATCCTTTTATTTTCAGATCTCTATTATTTTGAAGAAATCTACATTTGTCCTGTTGACAGTGTAGGGAGAAGTTATTCCTCACTGTAGTGCCATCAGAGGATACCCTCAGCAGGGTAAGTGGAGTCTGTCTGGTGTCATTAAAATAGCCCCCTAGCCTGAATGTGTGTGATATTTTCTGGGGGACAGTAAAGCAGGAGACTGAGATGGTGCATTTTAACTCTGGGATTATTTCTTCCTCCTGCTGCTGCTGGTGTAAAGCCACCATGGCTCACAGAAGGAACAGGATGTTTGTAAGGATATTGGCCATACACAGAGGGGTTGTAACTGCAAAACACCACAGTGTGCCTGGAGAAAGGATGCCTGATGTTGCATGCTTGTTGGCCTCTTTGGTGGGCAGAAGTTGGTGCTGCCCACACAGGAGGTGGCTCATCCATCTGCTTTTGGGGACACTCCCACACCTTCTCTGGCACAGCTGGAATTGCCCCAATCCCAGACACAGCACTATGCAAAACCAGGGCCAGAGCTGGGGAACAGCCCAGGTACCCTCCAGCTTCTGCTGCCACCATCCGTGCTGCTGTGGTGTTTATTCAATACCTAGAATTTTGTTTAACATTATTTCACTTCTCTCTCAGTGAGAAGCCCTTGAATGTATGATTCAAAGCTTTGATTTTCTCTTCTGTGGAAGACCTGTGCCTAGCACCTGTCTGTGATCTTTGGGAGGTTACATGCACTCAACAACAGAGCTATGTCAGCCTGAAAGTTTAAATCATTCAGGTGTCTCTTATCCTGGAAAATCTCTTCATTCATTCTGAGGGCAAGCTGATAGAACTGATAGAAATCCATATTTCCTAGATTTAAAGTATCAATGTTGCTAGCTCCTTCTGCATTAATAGATTTTCTATTTTATGGGGTTCTTAATAACTCACCTAAATTTTAACCAATTTGCATGAATGAATTTTAAGGAAGGTCATAACATTATAAAAGTCTGTATTTGTGCTTGTTCCACATCACTCTACAAACTAGCTGTTTTTTTCTCAAGCTGATAATTGTAGCTAGTAATTTTACTCCTTTGGCAGAATTTTTCTGACCTTCCCTACTTTCCCCCACTCTCTGAATCAAAAAGAATTTTTTGTAAGATACTACAAAATCTTCCCCAAAAAGGGATGGAACTTCAATCTCATAATAAGAAATAAAAGAGGTAATTTCCCTTGTGATTGATAAGCATAATTTGTAAATGAACCTGCTTTATGGAATGATGAAAAATGGTTGGAGCAGTTAAAAAATGAATTGAATATGCAAAAAATAGATTCCCTATAAGAAATAATATAAATTTGTAAATTCAGAATACAAAATTATTCATAGACGTTGAATGAACAAATTAATTTGGCTGACTTTACCATCCATTTACATAGAAACCATCTTTCACATTTTCTGTGTAGACCATTTTCTATGTTCTGCTGTGACTGAGGGAGAAACAAAGCACATGAGTCCTTTAAGGCAAGAGGAAAACATCCCGAAAGTCATTTTAACTGATTCCAAGAGTTGTGCAGCGGGCAGAGATTCAGGGAATGACAAAGGCACATGCAGAGAGGGAGGCAGCGATGCCAGGGAAACAGCTGGTGTCTGAAAAGCCCAGTTTGCTGTTCCCCTTACTGCTCTGTGTGGAGGCTGGGGTGGAGCCCTTTGCTGCTCAGGCCAGGCTCTAGCCAGGACACTGCTGGGGGGATGCTGGCCTGGAACTCGTGCCTTGGGAGGGCCCGGCCAGCTGGGATCGAGTATGGCAAAGCCAGCCATGGAGAATTGTAAAACCAGCTTCTTGCTTGACCACACGGACTCAGTGGGAGTGACTGTACCAAGGAGAGGTCTCTGGGGTAGGCTTGTTTCAGTTCTCCTTGCACAGTAGACATTGCTTCCAGACTACATGGGTACACATGGGCATGTCTGGCCACTTTTGGCTTTTCTATCACAAGACTCAGAAGCAAATTTTTAATGTGTCAGTCTTTGTTTCTCTAATTCTTTCTGTTCACCCCAAAGCTGAACAGCTGGTGAAGGCCAAAGGTATGTGTTTAAGGCACCAGTGCTGCAAACAAACCACAGCATGGTTCTGTTATGTCATGTCATAACAGCATCCAGCCCTTGTGCAGGAGAACCTAGGTGAGCATCTCAGTAGATGCAGCTAAATTGCACAGAGTCCAGCTCCTGAGCCCCTGAAATGTCTGGGAACAGCCACAGGCTGGTTTAGAGGCCAGGAATGGTGACTGTCTGATGCCTCCTCTTCCCTCTGCATCCTTTCCCATTTTCTTGGTGAGAACTACAAGAAACACCCATTTATTCTTCCTAGATCAAACTGTAGCTAATCCATAATGAGACATGCTGGTATCATTTCTTGCTACTCAGGCACAAAAACACTCAGCAAGTTTTTCCATGTTTAAAAACATGCTGAGTTGAGCCTTGCATAGTGACACTGCATGACCAAAAGCAAAGTGCAAAAATGCCTACAATTCAGGACCTCAATTTAACTCACTTTTGTTGAGACATTTCAGACAGGATAATGACATATGAATCCAAAAGACAGTTTTTTATTAAAAAGACTAATAAATGTTTCCAATTTCTTCCATGAGCATTTAAGAAAAAAAATTAACAACAATGCTGTCCGGTTCTGTTTCAACATTGAAAGTAGAAGCAAACTATTTGAAATTGGCCATTCACAGTAACTGTGGCCAGGGGAAGGAAACTATAGTGTCAAGGTATTAGGAAGAGAGAAGCAAAAAAAATAGGTTGCCCATTTTCCTATCTTTCATCTCTTGCACAGTTTGGCAGAGAGTTCGGGAAGGGGCTTTTTGCCTCTTCAGGGAGAGACATAAACTTGGACCACACATTCTCAAACACTGCCAGCTTGTCATTCAGCTCATGCATTCAAGATGTTGCATATTAATAGCACTCCCTGATGACTGGTGGGTAGGGGTCTCTCCACCTATACAAAATAAGCCTCTTGGCACAACAAAGTACAAAAGAGGCCCATACAGGGAAAAAATGCACTTGAGAACTGGTTTGGAGAAACTCTGCACAGATGCTCATGTGCAGATGCATATTTCAGATGGTTTTCTCCTGATTAGCATGCAGCAAACTCACCTGTTTTGCTGCCTAAAGGAGTCACAGCAGACATGGAGGAACACCTGCGTGAGTTCAGTTGTGTCTCCCTGTGAATATGATTTCCACCCTTATTCCATTGCTGCTCTGTGTAGCCACTGAGACCCTTTTCAATCCCCCTCTTGGACATGCCTAAGCCAGCAAACGCAGAGAGGTACTTTGGGATGGAGACAAAGCACGAACAGTGCAGAGTGCTGCATGTTGAGAAGGGAAGAAGGGAATGAGTGGGTGGATTGGTCACCCAGGTGCATTGGGGGTGCTCAGGCCAGATGGGTTCTGGCGTGGCTGAGATAGGAGGATGAGCTCCCAGGACCTGCACAAGAGCCTTGTGTTTGTCATCTGCAAGTGATCTGACACTCAGCACATACAGAGTTTCACCTGAGGTCTGGTCATGAGACAAGAGAATGAAGCAGGCTGTCTCCCCTCTCCCCTGCAGTGTGCTGCTTACACGTGTCTGCCGCTGATTCTCACACTGCGCTCTACAGGCAGATCCTACACACGCATGGGGAATAAATTTCCTTTGTGCTCTGCTCCATTGTAGTTTACTCCAATGGCAGAAAGCACAGCTTAGTTCTAACCATGTGTTTTGTAAAAATGAGCCTCAGGAGGAGAAAGTGGGGAGAGAGTTGCTTATACATGTGTCGGTATCTGATGCAATCCGCAGTGTGAGCCACGTTTTTCTGGATATTTCAGCATACACTGAGAATGACACATGAGTAGTCCAAGCTATTTTCAGAACTGACAGTTTTCCTTTTCACTCCAACAATTGCTTCTTCAATACACTAGAGTATGCAAAGTGCTTCAATAAACTTTTAATTGGGAGTAGGAGTAACAGTGAAACTAAGGGAAAACTTAAGGCAAAACAAGAGCTGACCTCAGCTCATACCTGTTTTGTGGGTTTGTTGTTAACTTTTTAAAAGAGGCTGCACACCTTGGCATTTGTTGATTTCTGACAAGACTTTTCAGAAGTCCTTCTCAGGAGTCCTGTAACAGCCTATGAATGGTTTTATGATATTCTTGACCCAGGAAAGATCCAGCAGAAATCTGCTCTGATGGGAGCCATTGGCTAAAGGTGTCTGGATACATTTGGATCAAACTCTTAGGTATTTCTCTAAAAAAAATATTCAAAATGTTTGAGATTTTCAGAAAATCTTCTCAGATCCTTACAACAGGAAACAGATTACAAGCAAAACTCTCCAGGTAAATGTGAGATGGATTTTGCTCTAATAGCTTGTTCATAGTCTTTGCCTGAAGTTTACTGACTGACACCAAGAACACAAATATGCCAGGGACAGGGTCTCTACTTCTTAAGCTGTCAAAATCAATTAGGGATCTGAGGCAGGGTGGTGTATTTCCTAGGAGCTTAATTTCTTTCTATTACCCTCCTGACAAAACTAACCAATCTCTTTGGAGCTTGCAAAGTAAGGTGCATCCCACAGAGCTAATGCTGTGTGCACTACTTGTAAAAAGGTATGTTTAACAAAAGCTGCATTCTGGATGTACTCCAGATATCATTACTATTGTTTAATTTCAGCTGCAGTTCAGCATTTGTTTAAGATAGTTTTAAAGATAATAATCTCACTAGACAGATACAAAATACAAAACCGAAATTACGTTGCTCAATTATTTTGTTTACTAGTGATGTTTAACCACTGTTTTTGTCTGAATAATGCAGAAGAGCTGTGATTTTTTTTACCTTTAAGCTTCTCTGAAAATACAGCTTTAGCATCACTACCTATTTCTTTCCAGATTACGTTATATGAATGAGTTTGATAGGAGTCACCATGGTGAGGAAAGGATAATGGAATTTCAGGTAAGAGTTCTCCATAATGAATTCATTCCTTACAGCATGTTAACACCCACCCATGGAATTAGGGACCTTTGTAACACAATGCAACAATTTACTAGACATCACAAAACACCAATTATAGAATTGGACTGAAATGAGCTGCCAAATCCTCTGTTCCTGATAAAAGAAGGATAGGTATAGTCGTGCCAGCACATTTTAACTCCTTCCTAAAAATTCACTTGGGTCCATTGTGAACATCCTCGGTGATACAGTAGATTGACTGCAGTGCTATGTGTATGACATGAAAGTAAAATAAAATAAAATTGAATAGGTCATGAACAGCAGTGAATATGAACTCAATTTGGATCATATTTATTTAAATAATTACAGCAGATTGTTAACTTTGAGAATCTCCTGATTTATGCAAGGGAAAATGAAAGAGAGTTGGCTTCTATATTGTATATTTAGCTTGATAAAAGGAAGCCAGTCTGCATGGAAGAAGTGTGCAATTGAAGTTCCTCAGCTGATATTTTATAAAAGCACAATTAAATGTCAGTACTTTACAAAGAACTCTTAAATCCTTAGACTGAATCTCGTCTGTTTTTACTGGTAGCAGGGTACCAAACTGTAAGCAGAACTGAGCAGGATCTGACTTTCCATCACAGACAGTTAATAATTAAATCAAACATTATATTCAACAATAGAACATATGCATCAGCTTCTTTCAAATTGCATTTCCTTCCTGTTAGATCCATTAGTGTAAACCAGACTGCCTTTAGAAAACCCCTTATTGCTGCTGTCTTTCAGCACAGTTCCTGAAATGGATAATGTGGTGCATATTATGGGCAATTACACAGAACTCCCTAGTGACAGGGTTTTAGAGTTTCAGAATAAAACAGCTGGAACTACAGGGCTGTAAACTAATCGGAAAAAGAGACAATAGTAGCACATTTAATGCACATTGTTAGAACATGGACAAAGACTAGATATATGAAATACTGCATATCACTGTACCTACTGTATTGCACAGCATCTTCACTGAAAATTCCATTTAAGTCTTGAAAGACAAGGGAGTCAAAAGCCAATGATTTTGTCATGAACAAATGCATGCACAGCTCTCTAACCTGAGCTAATTGGAAACATTAGAGGAAGAAGCCTTGATCCAGAGCTGTGGTTTTCTCTTAATGTCAGTGTAGTTTGAATCAAATCCAGAATTCTATTCAAAAATTATAATTTATTTATGAATGCATAATGAATATATACCTACATATGCTAAAAAACTATGTCTCCATCCTTCTTTTACTGTTTAAATATACTGAAGATTTAGCATTTGTGTTGCAAAAACTGCATTTGCTCTTCAATATATCTCAGATATTGCCACAATACATAGTGTTTGATCCTCCATCAATTTAAATTGATGGCAAAGCTCCCATTAATTTTAGTAATACAGCAGTGAATTTTTAGAATAGCACATGCATCATTTAAAAGCACAATGACCATGATTACATGTGTAATCACGGTAATTGTGTACACAATTACTGGTTGGGTATCTAACTGCCTTTCAAAAATCAGTTGCTCTACTTGCGTGTATACTCACAGTAGTCACTTGTGAAAATGCAGTGCAGCCCAGAGCATCCCCACCTCTGTGCTTGCCCCTGAAATACTGCAGGTGAGGTCTTGTCTCTGGCATTAGGGATGTAGGATAGAGAGGTATATGTTTACATTGCAGTGATTTCAACCACAAATAAGAAAGGGAGAGAAATAGCTGCAGTGTCCCTTTGGGAAAGTAAAAATGTAAAATTACTTCAACTAATTTTTCAAAAGGACAGAGACTGATTTGCACCAGCTCCTGTCTTGTGAGCCTCCTTATCAGCAGTGTCCAGCAGGCATGGGCATGTTAATGTTTTATAATGATATGGCAAAATGATCAAATAATATATCAAATAACAGCAGAATATAACAAAAAAAAAACCAAAAAACCAAAAAAAAACCCAACCCAAAACCAAAAAAAAAACCAAACAAGCCACACTGAGTAAAATTTTGTAGCTTAAAAAATTCAGAAAACAGTTAAAGTTTCACTGTAGTGCAGTGAGTTTCTTAGAATGCAGAACCCAAGAACTAGCTGCTGTGGCTCACTCTAGTTTAAAAGGTGACTCCTTCTGCTCAGAAGGTTGGTTCCTATAGGTGCAGAGGTATAGAAAAACACATCCTCCCTGGCCAGGGATAAGACTTCCAGATCCATCCTTTTGCTCAGTATAATGGTAGCTGGAGAAAGTTTTACGCAAGCCAGTTGTCCCCACAGTCCTGGCTTCCTCCTGCCCTGGGGAATGGTGGGTGTGCTTTGCTCTCCCAGTGACAGCGGAGGGGAGGGATGGAGGGGCTGGGCAGGCTGGGCCTGGCAGCCTGGCCTGTGCTTCTCCCAGGGGAAGGCTGGGCCATGAGTCCACATGAGGGAAAGCAGGTGTCATTAACAGCCAGAAAGCACCCTCTTCCTCAGGAGGAATGGGCCTGATTCCAGGGGATGGGAGCACTGGAATTGTGATGAATGAGAAGTAGCACAGCCTCTCCAGGAGCCCCCCTTGCTGTGCAGTGACAGCCAACAGCACTCACTCCAAGGGACAGAGCAGGACAGGATCCCATGGCTCATGAGAACAGGACCCCCAGCAGCCTGACCCTATGGGAAAGGCAACTGTCTTTCCAGATGGAAGACTCAAAAATTGGCAATGAATGAAAAATGAACTTTTTCTGAGGCTGCCAGTGGCTGGAGGAGGGCGGCTGGACTGAGAGGCCTTCAGCAGACTGCCTGCTGCATGTTTACCAAGGAGGGAACCTTGTAAAATGTGCTGGGGCAGATGTAGTGGTTACAAATCACACGTGCTGTCTAAATAAGATCTGAATATCAAATGTTGTAATGTTTGACAATATTTGGTTCTTGACTTACCTTATTTTAGATGGTGGAAATTTTGAGGCTCCTCCCCATCTATGGGATTTTAGTCCCATCAGGGTTTGGGAAGTTTGGTCCTGGGCTGTGGTGTGTTGAGAAGACAACAAATGTACTCTGTCAGGAAGAAGAGGGAACAGTGGTCAGATGAAAAATTGAAAAATGTTGAAAAATGTTTCTTCTGCTACTGGAAAGCTTCAGCACCTTTCCCTTCAACAGCATCAGCTTGTAGGTGAGCTCATTGCATGCATGGCTGTGCTCCCTGGATGCTCAGAGCCCATGGCCACAGTGACTTGACATGTTTTCAGAATAACTTTATGTAAATGAATCCAGATGGCATGTCCTGTTGCCTCTGCACAAATACCTGCTAAATAGTTTTTTAAAACTTTATTGAAGGACGATTCCCTTCTTGATTCTCTACAACCATCCTGCTGATCACTGTAGCAGATTCTGTTCTTAATTTCACTACAATAAATGTGAAGTGACATCACTGACATCTAATCAGAGGGAATTTCAGCTCTCTGCATTGCCTTGGGTCTACAGTCTTGAACACAGGTGCTGTTCATGTAGAGTAAATTCAGTACAGAGCATTAAACATTTGTAATTAACATTGGAGAGCTATATGAAGCCTTGAAGCTATGAAATCCCTAAAGTCCTGTAGAAAACGTTTATTTATGCAGATCTGAAGTGTTATTCAAATAAATTCACCCTCAAAGATGGAGAATTGCTGGGACATGAACATAAGGCTCTAAGACTATATATTGGAGAAAAGTTCCCTCAGAAGTGTGCATTTAGTCACCTTTGGTGACACATGCTGCCTTGCCTGCCACCTCTGCAAGTGTGGCCTCACTTTCACTGTTATTGCAACATGTGTCAAATGAAATGAAAACAGAGATTTGGGAAAGGATATAATTAACCTACTTGTAAACATTAACCTTAAATATCTTGCTAATTATCTCACTAATTTAATCACTGCAGCTCTCAAACTTGTTTGTTAAATATTTAATTCTACAAATTGTTTTTGGTACAGAGGTGTGGGGAGCTTTCTGTGAATGTAAGTTACTTTGTAAAACTCTGTAAAACCATTGTTATGTTCACACTTCATTGAACAAACCCTGCTGTCAACAAGACTTTTAATGGAAATCACAAGCAACTGTGCCCTGAGGCGAAGAGATATAGTGCCCTATTATTTTAAAATCTAATGAACACATTGTGTGGAGTGTAGACCAGGGTAAATTTCTTCCTGCACATCTTCAGGTTTGATTCCATGGGAGTATAGCCTAGAAAGCTCTGGGTTTCCTTGTTCCTTTGGTTACAGGGAAGCAATACAGCTATTTCTTACCTATTCACCTCTTTATTACTTGAGTAACTCAGCAAGATTATGTCCTTGATTTTCAGCCCTTTTTATCAAGTCACAACCTTGTGCTACAAGGAACCTACAAGGCGTTTAGATGCTTCAGTTACAATGCCACCCAGAATGCCTCTAATTATTCCTGAGAGGAAGCTCTTGAATTTGGTAGTGTTTGTTGAGAAGCTGAAAGCTCTGGTTTTGTTCCTTCCTCCCTGATGGGAAGGGGGCTGTGCTTGTGCTGCCTCCTGCAAACACCCACGGCACAGCCCAGCACTGCAAGCCAGGGCATGGGGACACCTCAGTGCTGAGGCTGGGAGAGGAAACAGGCAGGGCATGGGTGCTGGGGGCATCCCAGGGAGAGTGGATGGCAAAGCCAGGACACACTGGGGACATCCTGGCTGGAGTGGATGGCAAAGCCAGGATATGTTCTGGAGGCTGGAGGCACCCAAATCCTCTGTCCCATGGGAGGCAGGGGCCCTCAGCTGTGCAGTGCCTCCCCTCAGACAGGAGCTTCAGCCAGCCCTGTGTTTCCAGCTGTACCCCCATGGCAGCTCTTTGTCAGTGTTATTTTCTCCATTTTTGTTATATTTGTCTTCTTAATTGAGGAAGCAGGTAGATTAGGAGTCACATTGTGGTTTTGCTCTGTAATTCTTACCATCAGAGAAGGTGCAAAGGTATGCTAAATTCAGGTGACAGCTCACAGCAGACCTGTGACAAGAGCCATTTGATAAGTGTCCATATAAATACCTATTTGGGACTATATTACTACCTTATCATATATTATTTAGAATTTCATCCTGATTGTCTGTGGTTCTTTATTACACACTTAGGTACTGGTTAGTTCAATAAAAAAACCCAAATTTCTGTGACTTTAGCTGAAAAAAGCTCTGTTTGTTCCTGTTAGTTATATGAAGTCTTGTTCTTTCTGTGCCTTATCTCAATTTCTGGGCATTTTTCCCTTCATTTACTCCAAAAATTACTTCAGTACTAATGAATACTGAAAGACAGCCAAGACAGGATGAACTTTTGGACAATTTATGCAAACATGACAGATGATAATAGATTTACTGTAAACATGTCAGGCACAAAAGACTTGACTGCTTTTTAAATACAGTGATACTGGAAGAGATTTATGGATATTTTCAACTGTTCATTAAAGAGAAAAACATTTTGAAACTATAGGCTCTATCCTTTTATCCATTTTTGCCTTCCAGGCTGAGTTGCAAACCTTTGATGTTTTCTTCACCAAAAAATAAAATTAGTTATGAATTTATTTCTTCCAAGTACTTTTATTTTTGTGTCATTTTACAGTTTATATTACATTCTTGGCAGTCCAAATTATGGTGTTTGGAGAGCACCTAGAGTCCACAGCTCTAAGTTTTCTAAAAATAAGGACTAAGTTCACTTAATGATGCTTTCTGGCTATTGTCTTTTTTCTTCTCTAGTAATAAAAGGTTAATAAAATCTCTGAATACTTTAACTGCCTTTTAGACCAACCAACCAATTAAAGGTTATTCTATTCTAAATGACTGGAAGCTACTTGAATTGATAAAAGTTAACATGAAATAGCTAGTACCTGTTGGATCAGGTTAATAAAAAGCAATGTCTTAGACATGGAAATCATGTATAAATATGGTTCCTGTAGTTGACCCAGGTATCAATTCTTACAGCCAGACAGGCGTATTCTTAACTGTTTATTGTCAGAGTCTGCTTCTGTGCCCTTACAAATCAATAGTGAGCCTTGCTTTCAACTTCAGTGCAGCTGATGTTGTTGGCAGTCAATGATTTTGCAAGATCAGTTCAAGATACTGGAATGGTTTCAGGGAATTATTGGATTCTTTCTTTCTAAAATAGTGTTAAACTCGTAAGTAGGAATTTAAGGAATTTAAACGTGAAAATATATGCGCTTGCACTGCTTCTTAAAACTAGTGTATCTTGCCAAATCTCCTATCAAGTCAAAGCAGTGCACCAAAATGATAGCAGGAAGGATTGTGCAGTGCTCAAACATCTAATCCTGCATGCTCACAGTGCTGAGCATGCCCTCATTTTTTGAATAGATGGAGAAGGATGGAGAAAGATGGAGAAAGAGCAGATTTGGGTGGAAAATAACAGTTTTCAATGCAACCTTAGAAGAATATTGGCAATTTTGTAACAGAATGATTTGTGCATCCTGAGACCCTTCGAAGGAAGGCAGGAAGCTTTATAAAGGCTTCATTTTGGAAAAAAACAGAGAGCTGAAAGTAGTATTTTACTAATTCTCACTGGAGGTGCATTTCCTGCTTTTGAAAATTAAGAGCCACAAACTAACACACATTTATGAATAATATAATGCTGTTGGAGATAATGCAAATGTCTTTATAAATAACATATTATAGCTTAAATCATTCATTTTAATGCCTTTTTTTTCTCCTATATGAACAGGTCTGTGCTGGACTGCATTAATTAAATGTAGGTAGGTTTCTAAGGCCAGATCATCATTACTTCTGTGTCCCTGATTTAAATCTGCAGTAAAACATTTCTCCATTTAGTTTGGTGCTTTTGTGTCATATTTCATACACTAGTTGTCTCTTAATTAAATCCATGATAGCCCACCAACACAGACTATTAAAATAACTATACTTTGCACTTGACATATTTATGAGACAGATTCATAAGAGTATAGACTGATACTTGAACTACTCTCTGAGAAATGCTAATAAGATTATGATGAAGGTAAGATTAGAACATTCGTCTCCTTTTCACTTCTCTCTTCTTTATAGGAATTTATTTTTATAACTGCAATTCACTATTTCTATTTTCACTATTCCAGGCTCTTTGATGTTGTTGTATATACCAACAGTTCTTTCTGTGTCAATTTATTGTGGCAATGAAGAGTGGGAAACTGCTAATTTATATCACACCAGCAAAGTGCATAACTGTTGTGTTCCTTGAAGTATGAATGTTTGCAGACATCTGTAAACCTTCGCATGGGACTGACAACTTCAGGATAATACCTTTGGATTATTACCTTTGGAATTGGGTGATGAAGAATATGGATGATGGTGAAGTGCCACGTTTTTTTACCTTTATTGTCTTATTCCTTCAACCCTCCTGGTGGTGTAGAGCTGGCTGAGTCTGCTCCTGGAGGAGGGCGGAGACAGTGGCATTGTGCCTGTGACCCCTCCGTGCCTTTTCCTGTCTCTGTGACCCCTCAGTGCCTGTTCCTGTGCCCATGACTCCTCAGTTCATGTTCCTGTGCCTGTGACCCCTCAGTGCCTGTTCCTGTGCCCATGACTCCTCAGTTCATGTTCCTGTGCCTGTGACCCCTCCGTGCCTTTTCCTGTCTCTGTGACCCCTCAGTGCCTGTTCCTGTGCCCATGAGCCCTCAGTTCATGTTTCTGTACCCGCAGTCCCTCAGTGCCTCTCTCTGTGCCTGTGACCCTTCATTTCACGTTTCTGTGCCAGTGCCCCCTCAGTGCATGTTCCCGTGCCAGGCAGGATGCCCTTGCCCATCCCTCAGCTGTGGCAGATGCAGTGGGGTGTCCTGAGCTGTCAAACTGCTCTGGGCAGCTGGACTGTCACTGCAGTGTTGGAAATGGCCTGGGTGTATGGCCTCAGTGGGTAAGGAAAACAGAAAAGCAAGCAAATCCACAAATCACATAATTTGAAAGGCTGTTAGACATATGCTAAGATTTTATCATTCACCTGTATGAAAATCTTGAATTGTCTTCTTAGCATTATTTACAGACAAAGTTGCTGATATAATTTGTTTGTTAATTTTCTTAGTAATTTGGATGTGGAAAGTTCAAGGAATTCCATGTTTGAGAAGAATGTTGCTAGAAGTGAAAGAACTGCTAAATGAAAATCATAAAGGATTTCTATCATTTTTCAGGACCGCAATGTTCACATCTTAGGGACCTTTCCTCTCTATTTTTTTTCAGATCCACATTCTTTCATGGAAGAGCTTCCACTCATCATTGTGTTGGGGTCCAGGTGTGGGTACAAATGGAAAGGGCTCTAAATACATGCAGCTTGAAAGGGATGTATTTTACAAGTGGGGTCTATAGAAAGCCATGTCTATATGATGTTCAGATGTTCAGGAGGGTAAAAATACATCCCTGTGTTTCATCCTGGTATTCTCTGTGAAACAATGAAAACATCAAATGCTGGGATTTCATTTAGAAATAAATACAATATTAGAAAGTAAGAATAATAAAGTTATATTAAATATTTCATCCTCTACAGAAATAAACCAGCTACAGTTCAGGGAGCTTCACTAAACACATTAAATCTAATAAAATTGCCTACACATACTCCTGACACTAGTAGTAATTAAAATAACTTGTTTCAAAAAACTGGTCCTATACATGAATACTTATTGGCAATTATTTCCAAGTTCTTCAAACCAAAGATAAAGTAATTTGATTCACACACAATGTTCTTGTAAACGTGGTTCATACTGGGTTTTATATGCAGCTTAGGACTGTTAATTGCCATTTTGAGCCTCACAGTAAAATAGAGTTCAATATGTCGCTTTTTCTGAAGTATTGAGAAATGTTTGAGAAATGCTTGTCTTAGTCTAATCAACTGTGAATAATTTATTTCTGAGTCCTACTTTTCAGTATAAATGGATCTGACTTTTCTCAGAGCTTCTCAAGTCTAATCAACTTGTTACATTCATTTAATTAAGGAAATCTGTAGCGAACTGTGAAGTCTAAGTACCAACAGGCTTTTTTGTTGTGCAAAATTGGTGTATTTTCACTGTGAATGTGATTGTGGTTGTTTATACTGACAGGTAGCCTCTACTAAAGAAGTCAGGGGTTTTTTTCTACACATATGGGTCACTATGAATAGCACATAAACTGTTTTCTGAACTGCCTCTTCTGTAGTGGACCCACCACCCAGCTTCCCAAATTCACACAGCAGTAGTTTTCAGGCAATTCTCATTTCTGGAAGGGTTATGAGTGTTCTTCCATGCCTCAAAGGGGAGGAAGATATAATGGAGGTATAACATACCAGAGTGGGGATAATAGACTGCCTTTAGTCACAGTTAGCCTGAAAAAGATCATCACACTTGAGGATTAAAACACTGGCACAGGCTTATGGTCAGGATCTGCAAGCCACAGAGTCACCCACAAAGGCATGAGCTAAGGTGCTGATTCAAAGTCCTGTCTGTTTCCCAACCCTACATAATTTGTTCTCATTTCTCTGAGAAATCAGCATTCTAGGAAGGGAGCAGCTCATACAATAAAGGGCTTTGACATCATACATGCATTTGTTTTAGAAAAGGCCCTATATTTATTTGCTAATAAATGTTCAGAAGTCCATCATTCCTCTCATATTTATGTGATATGAGGAATATTTTTTATTAGAAATATAGAGAGATGCTGTGGAGATTGACATAATATTTTTTTCTCCTTATCCTCAGACAACCTCTTCAGACTCAGAAAAAGTTCTCAACCCTGGTCTAAAATACTGTCCAGTGCTTATGGGTTATAAAATGAAAATCATCAAAGCTGTCCTTGACAGGATGTTTCTTTCCATTAGTTGATTAAAATGGTTTATTGTTGCCTACAGCATTGTTACTTTAAATGTATTTTTTAACAAAGAGCAGATGTGGCCGTGTCTTGCACTGTTTCTCTTTCTGTGGTTTCTGATACAGAAGTGAATCACTACCTTGGCAGATCCTCCTGTGGAGAGGGAGAGAGAAAGGTGAGGAGCCCAGCAATGGGCTGGTGTACCAGCTGGGGGGGGCTGTGCAACAGTACTGCAGAAAGTTGGAGGCAAAACATGCAAACCTTCAAGCAGCAAGTGTTCAGAGTAGAAGAAAACCCCAAAATCTGGAATTATCTGCCTGTCATTGCTGTATGTTTGCTCTGACAAAGCAAGAAGTGGGTTTTGGCATTTTTTCAGACTGTCAGCTCTAATGTTTCAGATAGAACGTGGAAGTGGAGAGTAACTGATCCTAAGACATTAAACAAGGTTGTACCCCCATAAACTCTCTCTACCCACTGCTATAACAAAGAGAACTGAAAAAGTCCAAGTCTTTGAGATGTATGTTAAATTTCTTTGTTCCTTGTCCCCTCCATGTTTGATAGGGGAGCTGAAATCTCGGTACAAATCCTGTTTCCAAATCTAGGGGTCAATTATGTAGAATAGTTATAGAAAAGGTACCTTTAGCATAGTTATAAAATAGATTATAGAAATAGTTATAGAAAAGGTACCTTTCCATTTCCTAGCACAATTTTTCTAAGGCATGTTGTCATCTGATGATAATTGGGTCTTTCACTAGTGAATCTCAAATTATTGGCCATGTGACCTTATTTTCAATAAATATTTATTTGAGAATCATAGGTTAATTAATTTCCATTGTTTCTGTTTTAATTCTATACATGCTTATACTATACAATTAGAGAAAAACACAGCCACGAGTAAATGTTGCTCATACAAAATGTTTCTATTACCCTTTACTTTTAAAACCATTAATAGATTATTAGGAGATATAAACATTGGAGACCATGGATCATATTTGCATGTTAATCAAGTCCATGAATTATACATTATTTGCTATGGAGAGTACTAGAAACAATATTCCTCCTTTCTAATATCTATAAAAGCTGGAGGTTTCCTGGAGCACACATCACATGCCCTCTGCAATACCTTCTAATAGAAAGAAAGAAATCCAGCTTTTCAAAGCAATCTCTCACTAAATGAAATAGATTTGTTTGTGTTGCTTTGCAACACACAAGTGTGACAGTTCATTTTAAACAAAATAGTTTTAATAATGTCATTACTAATATCTCTTTGGTCATCTCTCTGAAAAATTGTGTTTTAATAGGAATGTTTCATTTTAATAAATGGCAGAAGAGGCAAGCTGCCCTGAGTCAGCAGGAAGTGGATATACACCAGAGAACAGGCTGATTGTGTTAGATTCATCCAGAACACTGAACAGCACACAGACAGTCCAAGAAAAAGCAACTGGCTGTATTCAAATGATTAGTCTTACTGCTATGCTGTAGCACAGATTCACACATTCTTCTATTATTCCTTGACCTTCTGCCAAAAACTCCCACTTCAAGTAATAATTAGAATTAGTGTTTCCAGTGCATGCTTCCATCTTCCTAACAAACAGTAATGAAATGTGGCTTTTACAAAATATGTAGTTAATTAAACTTTTTTTTTGAACATTGTTTGATTAATACAGTTCCCCTGTGCTAGCCCCTCATTATGCCTGACTACCTGGGATTGGTGAATTGAAAGAAAAGCACTATCAATAGGATGAGTGAGATATCAGAATTTTGCACTTTAAAATTGATTGTGCTTTTAATTTTTATATTTTTTTTTGCTTATGTCTTGGAATAAACTGAAAGGACAGCCTTTATTTGTAATCCTGTTTTTTCAAGTCGAGGACAGTATGTGTATTATATAACAACTCTACAAATACTCCCAGTGTGAATTTGAAGAACACATATATCAAGTGCTACAAGATAACAAGTGGATTTCTAGGCAAGCTTTTTGAAAAGGTGTCTCAGCACTGTATTGCTTAATAACACTATGCAAATAGATATTCTGATTTCATTTTTAAAAATATTATTTTATGCTTTTTAACTGTCTGCCTTAATTATCCAAATGCTGAACAAGTATAGTCTTTTGATTGATGAGAGTTCCACCCCTTTACCCACACCCCTGCAGATATGAGGCTCCACAGTTTAGTACCATAAATCACTGTGATTGTAAAACTTAACTACTGTATGATCAGAGATCACATGCAGTGGTAGCCTGAATATGCATTCTTCCTTCGTTATGAATGTTTTAGGGCTAAATTTAGTCTGGATGTTTGGAGAAATATCTGTTTCTTCACTTAAGAAAGTAATGCATTTTAAATAAGCAATTCTTGCAACAATTGGAAATAATCACAGAAGTCTTCTATTTGCAATCTTCATTAATGTGAGTTATTTCACCACTTTAGGAGAAATCTTTTCAGAGGAAAACAACAATTAAACCCCTCCCCCCAGGCTCTGACAGCTAAGGATCTATGGATCAGCCATTTTAGTAATTAACCACAATTCCTCTGATTTGTGAATTTCCAGATGATGAGGCAGGAAGCAAGTTACATCTTGGAGAAATTGCCCTCAGGAGAGAGGAAAAACTATTGCGAGGTTGACAGCACAACCTTGTACCGGCACAGTTTCCCTTCCCCAGCGGTTCAAGGAGTTCCAAGCACCCTCCTGTAAATCATCAGCTCACATCTATTTATTATCTTCCAGCCCAGTGCACAACACTATCTGTTACACACGGATACCAGCAATATTGCAAGGTGGACTCAAGGGATAAAAGACAGCAAACCCTGCACACCTCCTATGCCTGAGTCACACCCACTATAAAGCCAGGCTCTGTTCATAAAGTGCATGCTGTTGTCAGAAATGAAACAATATGAGCTGTTCCAGTTCAGAGTGGAGTTTTTGTAGTGTTTTTCCAATATGCTTGATCTTATCATCTTGATATCTTTGTGTTCTTATACAGAGACAAAACTTATCTGCATAGTAATGGACAAAATGTCTATGGAAATATTGCTATTCGTTCAATGATTGTTGTTATATTTGGACTAGGCGCCAGCCTCACTCTGTGATGCTTGTCCTGGAATATCAATAAATAAATCATAAAAGCCAATGCTTCAAATATTGAAAAATTCACACTTCAAACTGTGTTTTGAACTATACTGAGAGCAATGCCTCAGATTGTCCTTTTGCTTTATATGAACAGAGGAAATTCAAAGTAGGAGGAAGTCTCTCCCGGGATTTGGCATAGGGGAGTGCCACAAACCATCAGCCTTCCTGTCTCTGCTGTGCCAACGAAGCCTCTCCTGGGATGTACCACGAGCAGCAGACAGAGTGTCTGGGGAGTTAATGTGGCTTCAGATGAAATTATCTCCTGCAGAATCCATCTTGCCTGTTGTTTGAGTGCATGCAAAGGAGACAGGCAGTGGTGAGGAGCCAGGCCACAGCAGGGCAGGTGAAGGCTCAGAGAAAAGTAGAAGCATCTTCCTACGGCTCTGTAAAGTGAAGTTCTTTGCACCACATACTTATGCTGCTGGTGAAAATGGGACATCACGCCTCTTTTTCTCCTTCTGTCTGGAGCCCAAATTTGGTAAGAGCAAACTCACTGAAGTCCCCACTCTGTTGCCCATTTCACTCCTCACTAGTAACAGATATGTAAATTCCGTGGTGTGATTGACAGCATTAAAAGGAGAAATGAGGGCAAATGTCCTTCTGAAAAGTACACTCTAGTTCAAGCACGAGTGCTTGGGCTGATGCCCAAGTTGCAGATTGACTTTCTATGGTTTGCATTGTGCGGGAGGCCACTAGGCAATTCTAATGGTTCTTTTTCTTTTGCTTTAAAAGCACTGAAATTAGCTGAAAGCTAGAAGTAGGAATGGTATTTTGTAGTAATTGTAAATGCAAAGCCAGACGAGCGCTGGAAGTCACTCAGGTACATCTATTCAAAGGCCAGAAGAAAAAGCACTGCAGGTATTCAGTGCTTTATCTGATTAGAAAACAGCCTGGCACAGATGTGATTTCTGCTCCATATATCAAGCTATGGCAGGCTTTTGCTGCTTCATTATGAAAGCATGTGAAGTAAAATAGGTTTTGGAACATAAAAAATGACAAATTTGGAAAAATATCTATATGCCAGATGGGTGTAGGAAGAATCCTTGTGACAAATATATTATTAAGGGAATATGCATAAGGAAAGAAACTGTGCCCAGTTCTCCCAGGGATGGACGGGCAGGAAGGTAGCGTCTCACTGTGTCTAATGTATTCTCATCTAATCTAAATCTAATTAATTATGTTGCATCGCTGACATACAATCCAGGCAGCGCACACAACAATGGAGGGCTCCGGCAGGGCTGGCGGTCGCTTCGCCCTCGCTGCTTTTGTTCTCCGCGCTCGGGGCCGCGCTCGGTGACGCCATCCCCGCGGGGCAGGCTGAGCTCATCCCCATCCCGATCCCGATCCCGATCCCGGCCCGCCCTGCCCTGCCCCGAGCCTGCTCCCGGAGGGTTTCCGCGCACGCCGGCAGCGCTCCAGCTCCTCTCGTGTTCCGTGGAGAGACTGGAGCGTTTTGGCCGGGGCTGTCTGGCTCTGCTTGCGGAGCCGAGCTCGCTGTGTCGGAGCCGGTCCCGCGGCCCGGCGCGCAGCTCCCGGCGTGGGAAGGGCCGCTCCACCGGGAGCTGCCCACCCGAGCTCCCGGCTCACCCCCACGGCATGGGTGGGACAGCTCCGCACTGCCAGGGCTGGGGACACAGGGCGCCGAGAAAAGAGGCTGGGCTCTGCTGCCAGGAGGCTCCTGGGCAGGCAGCGGCTGGGGCTGGGCAGCCAGCCGGCCGTGGGGCAGGACTGATGGACGGATCCCTGGAAACTTCAGCTTTGCCATGGTGGGATCCGTCAGCCCAGACGGGTGGGGCCAGGCGCCAGCCTGCAGACCCTTGAGGAAACATCACTGCCTCTTCTTGGAAGCAGGCGAGTCAGTGCCCCAGCTTCAGTGTACATGACCCAGCAAGGCGCGCCGCTCCGGCCGCCGCTCCCGTGGGGCGGCTGACCGCCCTGATGAGCTGCAAGGGCTACTGCACACACCGAGCGGGTTCAGCCTTGGCTCCTCCCAAAGCTGGGGTAGCATACCTGGTCTGGGTTCAAGGTGCGAACGATCTAGCCATGATTAATGTGTTCAGAACTGAAACAGAAATGGAGGTAGGGAGGGTGGCACGGCAATCGTATCATTTGGCTTCACGTAATTTGATTTTACTGATGCCTCATCCACTATCTGATTACTCTTTTCCTATTTAATCCCAGCCAAACCAGGAGGCTTTTGCTCACAGGCTTTTAGTACTATTTTATTTGGCAGTTATGGAATAAAAGAATTTTAGTATTGCCTTAGAATTTCTCCTGACATCTATCACAACCAATCCAGCTCATATGTGGGTGAACTGTGTTTTGATCCAATTATAAAATTCTATTGGAGTCTTGTTACATTCTTATCCCATGTGCATGTTGAAAAATTCAAGAGCAAAAGAAAATTCTACAAAATGTTTCTCATTTACTGTAGGCTTAGAGACACAAAACTGCATCACACAGTCATTTGTGGAGGCTAATAGCAAACTAGAAAAACAACGTATTCTTCAGGAAAAAACCCACCCTGTTAATCAGCAGCAAGATTTAGAGGGAGAATAGTACAATCTGTGTATAGATATTACTGGCAATCGTTTCTTGGAGACACAGCCTTACTTTTGTTAATTGTAGCAATGAGAACTTTGTTGATGTTCATCCCAGAAGTTATAATGAAAAAGGATCTGCCAGTCTGAAGACATTTTGGAGGGTGCATAAAAATGACAAATTTGAAAGAACCCAGACACAAAATGACCAAGGTAACACATAGCTAATGTCCCAATGGATTGCAATGAAGATATTTTACACATTCTTAGCATCTCTATAGCAAAAATGCATTATTAAATCAACAGCCCATGCACTATTTGATTACCATGATGGAGAAGTTGATCTAGGATATTTCTGTCTCAACACTTTCACCGTCTTCAGGCGACAAAATATAATAAAAGGAATTAGGTGTCTCCCTTGCTCATCGGCTATAGAAAGCCATGCAGAGGCGTAGCTTCACAGACAGAGTGCTGCTCCCAGGAGAGGAAATGCACTTGCTCCAAAGCTTTCTGCCTCCATCCTGGTGGAGTCTCACACACACCTACAATCCGAATCCCCATCCTAAAGCTGGGAGGTGTCAGGACCAAGCCAGCAGCCCTGAGCCAAGCAACTGTGGCAGGGCCAGGGCCAAGTCTGGAGCTCAGACTTCAGCTGTGAGCTGTTCAGCCACATGGAAAAGCCAAAAGCTCTTTGACTTTCCCCAGTACTGCTTGTAATTCATCCCTTTCAGGTCTGTAGGGATCCTGTGGCTGCCCCCAGGAGCAGAGGCTGGGTGGCACTGCTGGGATGGATCTCTGTGCCTTGCCCAGCTGAGCTGTGCTCTCTGTGTGCCCCAAGGCAGCAGCAAGGCCATGCTGGGGGTGGGCAGGACATGGTGGCACTGCAGGGTGCTGGCCACAGCCACCAGCAGTGGTGACCAAAGCTGAGCAACCCTGCTACGTGCAAGGATGAGAGGTGCATGTGTGCCCACAAACCATGTTGGATCATTCCCACATCAGTCTGGCCTCTCTGTGATTCCAGTAGCTTGATAGTCCCCTTTCCCTTATTTCCAGGGTACAGACAGGTTGTTGGTCCCCCATTCTGGAATGCTGTCTGTGTTTTTCTGTACCCCATGGGAGGCTGATAAACATGGCACCTCTCCCCATGGCTTCCCCTGGTCACTCTAAGCCCCATCATTAAGCTCTGACAAGAAAATCTGTTTAGTCACAGTGGCAGATTGCTTCCATGAAGCGCAGAAATGTAATTTGCCAGTACTTAAGCTACAATATTAAATACTAACATGAAGTTCCTTCCCCTTTTCAGTTCTTTGTAGCAAAAAATATTTGGTGTGAAATCTTGTTTCTACAAGGGTAAGTGATAAAATCTGCATCAGTGACAGAGCAGCTTCTGCCCTTCCTATGGTGAGTGGTTTTATTGGTTTTGCATTTAAAGCTGTTCCAGTGCATCGGTGCTTTCATTGCCAGTCCAGAGCACTCCTACACTTGCAAAGCTGGTGAAGAGGTCATCTCCATATTCCCCCTGCCCCGGTCGTGTCCCAGGCAGCAGGACAGCCCTGCTGGGGTTTATTCTGCAGTGGTTCAGCTCTGAGGCAGAGCACACTCCAGTACACCTCACCTCAGGCTCCAGCCCACTGTAGTTAATCATTAAATAATTCTCCTGGTGATGTTATCCAGTGCTGATAAATTACAGATTTCATTGTTTTGCCTGGAGCAGCTTTAAATTGTGTTAATTTCATTGAAGATTGACACTGGCTTTTATTTCCTTTTGCTACTGTTTTGTCCTGCAAAGCGACACATACTGCAGACTTCAGATTGCTCATATAATTGGTGCAATAGATTTTTTTCTTATATTTAGAGAAAATTTTAATCAGAGCCTTTGAAATACCAAGAACTTTGAGATCAATAAAATACTAATGATAGTGTATTAGAAGAGGAATATTACCACAAATCAAATAGCTTTTAAAGCAACCTTATTGTTGACCATGTTTGTTTTACATGTGATCTCAGAATGATTTCTAATTTTATACAGCAGTGAATTTATTCCACCTACAATACACGTTTCTGACACAGGGTTTTCTCAAAAAGTGAAGATAAAATACATTATACATCTTCCTGATGAGCCAAACTCTCATCGGTCTGATTCTCTCCTTTGGCAAAGCAAAAAATATCCCCAGGTAGTCCTACTCTTTTCAGGCAGAAGAAAAAGACTGTTTTAAGTTAGTGGGATCTTGATCTGTTCTTTGATGACAAATTCCACCTATTTTGGAACAATTAACATAATATTTCAATGGGTATTGAATAAAACATATGGAAAATTTTGGAGCTGTAATTTACAACTAAAAATGATATTAAATAACTTCTGTACTAGCAACAATGTGACACAATACAGTCGACTGTTGTGGTAAATAAGAGAAGGTTTTGATTGT